ACTGATTAATTTTTATAAAAAAAGAATACAAAACAGAATCAATTCACGAGAGAGACAAGAATAGCAAATAATGAGAAAACTGGAAATAGGATAAAAATTAAGAAATCAGCGCCATCTTCAGAATGTTACAAAAACACATAAAAAAGGACAGAAAATAATAAAAGAAAAATAGAGAGAATAAGAATTAGAATAAGAATTAATCTTTTGCACCATCTTTGAAATATATCATTTCAAACATTTTTTCAAATAATCATGCTTCTAAAAGCAATCAAAAGATGACATTAATAATCAATTCTTATTTTATTTCACTTTTTGTTTTCTTTATTTATACTTATTTTTATATATAATTATAGATACAGAACCAATTCAATTTTTATTATATTTTTTTCAAAACTTATTTCTTTCAATATGTCTTAATTTTTAAAAATATATATTATTAATAATGTATATTATATGTCGACATTATAAGGTATCTTTAGAATGATGATTTCACAAAACATAGTGTACTTTCTATATAAGAATGTTTTATCGTTCGGCGGTAATGAATTTAAATTCTATAATAGAATATTTGTTTTATTTCTTTATTTCTTATTTCTTTTTAATTTTATATTAATGATATTATATTATAATTTAATTTCAATTTCAATCATTATCAATATTGCAATCTTATTTTCAATAATATTGAAAATGATACTGCAATGGTAAAAAGATTTCAATGCCTTTAAAGCATAGGACAAAAAATTGAATGTTAGATCTATTCTATATCTCTTCTGTGATACCTTAGTGTTTTGTAAATATCGATTTTATTCAACCAAGCATGATTCAAATGAAATTCGTGTATATTATTTTAATTTTTGTAAGGATAAATCAATTTCAAGATCGAATATTCGATTATTGCACAATTGTCTATATTATTTAACGTGATAATTACAAATATGGAACTAAGAAATTTACTTCTCATAATTGCATAATCTATAATTAATTAAATTATTGTATATTGTAGATGAACGAGAATATGTTATAAGTTTTCTATAATTTGAAGTAAAAATATTTGAATACAGTAAAAAATGAATTAATTTACTTCGATTTTAAAATTACCAATGCAATCAAACAATATTAGAAATCTTAAAAATGTTACGACGAAACAGGTGAAGTGTGATCATTATATAATTATTGAATCATTACTTTTAATTAATTTTCTTGCCAATTATTAGAATTATAAAATGGTGTATTATAATTTTTAATGTTCTTGATTTATTTTAATAAAATAATTTATTTAACAAATTATATAGATTGAAGAATAGGATGATTGCAATTGGTTTTCTGGTGTTGGCTGCTGTAATTTACAATGAATTTTCAGTGTATGATATACAAAAGTTAAAGTGGTCGACACGAGAATGTTCAGAATGTGTCAAGGTACTATTTGTTGCCGATCCTCAGATATTAGGAGAAAAAAATGAAAATTACTTTGGTTCTTGGATAGCACGATGGGATAGTGACAAGTACGAATAATGATTAATTTGTTATATAAAATTATAATTCTTATATATAAATTTGATTTTTCATATAAAATATAAACATTGACATTTTGTTCCACAGTGTATTATTTGCAGGTACTTAAAAAAAACATTTTCCAAAGCATTAGATCACTCTGATCCGCATGTTGTTATATTTTTGGGAGATCTCATGGATGAAGGTCATATTGCCAATGCAGATAATTTTAAAGCTTATAAAAGAAGATTAGATTCCATATTTGAAATGCCTAATCATATAATGGTATATCATATATTAATAATCTAATAAATAATATTATTTATAATATGAAACATATTAAAATAACTTTTATTTTATTAGAAAATTTATCTACCTGGAGACAATGATATTGGGGGAGAAGAAGATACAATTTCATCCAATATTCACAAAAGATTTAATTTTGCATATAATCAACCAGACACTTTAGTTTATAAAACAGTAACATTTTTCAAGGTAATAAAAAATATATATAAATATATAATATAATATTTTAAATATATATATATAAATATTTCAAATATATTCTAGATCTTATTGATGGATTGTAATATGCATATTTTTTATTAGGTAAATAGATTAACTCATACAATACCAGAAGCACCTAAAGATGCCTTTCTTAATGATTATGCAGAACGAAATACAACAAATGTTGTACTTAGTCATATGCCTTTATTGTTTATGCCTGGTACCTTTGTTCAAAATGTATGTCAAATTTATGCATTTATTAAAAAATAATAGTATTTTCAATTCTTATAATAATTATATTTTACTCTTATTAATAATTATATTTTAATATTAGGTACTGAAAGAATTATCTCCTCAAATTATTTTTACTGCACACGAGCATAAAGCTATGCGTATCAGTTTAGATACGGCGACAGATCAATTAAGTGAGATATGGGTTATACCTCCCTATGAAACACCATTATATCAATTAAGAATGGATGTAGGTGATATTCACGAATTGCAAATACCCACTTGTTCATATAGAATGGGTACTCCTCATACGGGTTATGGACTTGCTTATATTGGTAGAAAAATTATATTCACTTATGAAATTATCTTATAATCTTATATATTATATATATATATATTATATATTATCTTATATATCTTATATATATCTTATATATTATATAATTTTTTTCTCAATTATATTTCATGGTTTATATTTTTAGATACACAAGAAAAGATAGTAGAATTTACAATTTTATGGCTCCCTGGAAGATTTCCTCAACTATGGATTTATATTTTTGTTGGAATATTTATTTTAGCTTTTAGTATTTGCATGTGTATTTCCAATTATTGTACAAAGAGTCATGCATATAATCGTATGTCTTCGATATAACAGCGTATAATCAAAAATACATTATTCAAATACTTCATAAAATTTGAAATATAATTTGACATCAAAGATGAGATAAAGATCCGTCCAATGTAAGTGATTCTATTACCATCTATGTCAAATTTCTAATAGAATAATGTGATGATAATGTGATGATAAAATTTCTTATTTCATGCCTGAAATAAGAAAAATTTATTTATTATCAATTATAACATAATTTATAAAACATTCTAAACAATTAATAACTTTAACACTTAAAAATAAATAATTCATGATTTCATTATTTATTTAATTTAATTTTAAAATTTTATTTAAAATATTTTTATTAAAAATATTTTAGTATAGCGTATATTTATTCGTTTTTGTTTAAGTATAATAATTTTTACAAATTATAAATTTGAATAAAATATTAATTATTTTTAATATTAATAAAATTGAATTTAATATAACTTGTATATAATATATGAATCTATGTATTTATCTATATATTATGCTTTATAGCTTTATTTTTAGTACAATATTTAATATAAATGTATATTAAGTGCTTGCAAAAGTTCGTCAAATTCCAAATAAATGGAAATTATTGCGAATTGGCAATTTTATTTCTTCATGGAGCAAGATGCTTATTTATAATTTTAAAATTTATCTACAGCATCTTGAGTATATATTGAGTATATATTAATTTTATTTTTATTATAGGTAAAAGATAAAAAGATCACAAATAGCTATAAGATGAAATTTGTTGTTTATGATAATTCATAATTTTCATATTGCTATGAATATTCTATAACAATAACTTTCATTGCCTTAAAAAATATATTTTTTAAGGCATTTTTTAGAAATGGAATTGAATAATTTTTTAAAAGATGAATTGTAGAAAGATTGTAGAAATTCATAAGTATTTTAATTAAAATGAATATATATGCTTTTTTCATTATGTGTGTATATTGACTAAATAAATTTAAAAATCCAACGAACTTCTGTTGACACTTGATAAACTTAATATAGTTAAAATTCGTATATTTCCTATTTAAATATATTAAGAGATTGTAATCGCTATATTAACATAGCGCAACTGTTAATTTTTTTAGAAGAGAGTTTATATTTGTGTGTGAAAATATATTGTCTAAAATAAATGTTATTGTATACGTTAAAGTTTGATTATTTTGATTAGTTTCTATAATAATAATTATATCTAATTTATCTAATTGTAAAACAATTTAAAAAATAATATAATTTTATATCTTGATGACTTAAAAATGAATTGTAAAATATTTAATGCAATAATATAATATAATTTTTAAAATAGATCCCTCAAAAATTCCGCCATATTATTTGAAATGAAAATATAGAAGATCCAATCATCGATTTTTTATGAAGATAAATTTGACAATAATAATGTCCGAACACAAATTAATATAATTAATTAAGTTACTAGAAATTACTAATAAATTACTAGTTTCAAATTCTCGCAGTTTCCCGCAATTTCTCAATTTTATGAAATATTTGTTTTTTATAATATGCCATAGTAAATCAAATAAACAAAGATATTACATACTATTATTTTTTAACTATTTTTATTATATGTTACGAATAATAAATTAATTAAGTTAATTAGAAAATTTTGAAACGAAATACAATATTGTTAGCTTAAATCTTAATTCAACTCTACGTTGTGATACTTATCCGAGGAGATAAATGTTTTAAAAATTGTTTTTATTGCTTCGTTTATTTGTCGATAACATCGAATGCAAAAATGAAAACAAGAATGAGATATATTTTTTTTTATCATTCGAGATAAAGCGAATTCGGTTTGAAGAAAAAGAATTTTAATAACTGATAATTTTTTTACATTCAAACGAAAAAAATGAGAATTTAAAAAGACAATAAAATATGATTAACGATTAGTAATAATTAATATTGATATAATACTGATAAAAGTAACATAATATAATAACAAAAAATAATTTAAATAAACAAAATATTTTTTAGTTATACATTTTTCCTCAATAAAATTATGTACATTATGACAATTTTGCATTATTTGAATATATTTATAATTTTAATTTCCAAAAAAAATATTCACTTCCGTTTAAAATGCTTCGATCTAGTTTCTTTTATATATATATATATAATAGCGTATATATATGTAATATACGTTGTGGAGAATTTCATGGCCGCATTGGTTGCGTTGCATCAGCAAGTGCAATGTTCATCTATTTTCGGTTGTCTCGTAGCGGTAGATCGCTTCAATGATCAGTGATTTTTAATTTGGAAAATGGCCGAATCAGAACAAAGGAACAAAGAGAATTGTATCGTAGGATCAAAAGAAATGATGGTGAAGCAAGAAAAGCGTGAGAACACGTTGACGAATGGCGGGAAAGGATCTGGGGATGACGCGGACAGTCTCGAAGAATTACCTCTTGATATTGGTGAACATTATCTTGTTCGCAGATCTGATGATTCCTGGCGTAAATATGTATATTATCATGCAATCATTTTTATGTTATTATATATAAAGAATAATTTAATATTAATAAATTACTTATTCGCGCACTTTTTTTCGCGATTTTGTACTTATGTTTGTACTACCGGCTTTATCCTAATAAACTATACTAATGTTTTGCAAACATTACGAACGATATGTGTAATAGGTGATTTATTTGTTATTAACATTTTATTTTTTTATTTCTATGATTATTTCTTTCGATTATAAATCATAAGTTATTAATGAAAAATATAAATTAAAAAAAAAGAGTATGATATTAACAGAATTTTTTCAATTTCATATAGATCCAGCAGAAATTATTCAAACTCGATATAACGAGAGTGAAAGCCACTATGAATATTATGTTCATTATGAAGGACATAATAGAAGATTGGATGAATGGGTGCCTAGAGATAGAATTATGTCAAGCAGATTTGATATGAGTGATAGAAGTTGGAAAAGTGGAGACAGAAATTCTGGTACTGATTTATTGGCAGATTCATCAGATCGTAAGATTACAAGAAATCAAAAAAGAAGACATGATGAAATTAATCACATTCAAAAGGTGCATATATCATTATATTTTATATTATCATTAAATTAAAAAATATATATTTTTAAATTAAAAATATATATTTATAAACAAAAATTAATATTTTTTTATTGTAGACATATGCCGAAATGGATCCTACAACTGCTGCACTAGAAAAAGAACATGAAGCAATAACAAAAGTCAAATACATTGATAAGATTCAAATAGGTAAGCATTAATATATATTTTATAGTACTAAATCTTATTTGAAAAGAATCTCATTATTTTCAAAAGTTCATTTCTAGGAAAGTATGAAATTGATACTTGGTATTTTAGTCCATATCCAGAAGAATATGGCAAGCAACCAAAACTATGGATTTGTGAATATTGTCTTAAATACATGCGTCTTGAAAAAACTTATAGATATCACATGGTAAAAAATTTTAATATTAAAATATTTAATTCTCTACAAAAATAATTAAATAATTCTATAATTAAAAATTGGAATTTTCTTTTTAGAGTGAATGTACGCATAGACAACCAGTTGGCAAAGAAATATATCGCAAAGGCACATTAAGTATTTGGGAAGTGGATGGTAGAGAGCATAAAATTTATTGTCAAAATTTATGCTTACTTGCAAAATTGTTTTTAGATCATAAAACACTTTATTTTGATGTTGAACCATTTCTTTTTTATATTCTTTGTGAAGTTGATAAACATGGAGCTCATTTAGTTGGTTATTTTTCAAAGGTATATTTTTTATTTGATTATATTTATAATTTATAAATTGTATTTATAAATTAATTGTATTTACCATATTTGATCTACATACAGGAAAAAGAATCACCTGATGGTAACAACGTTGCTTGCATTTTAACTTTACCGCCGTTTCAAAGACAAGGATATGGAAAGCTTTTAATCGCTTTTAGTTATGAATTAAGTAGAATAGAACAAACTGTTGGTAGTCCTGAAAAACCTCTAAGTGATTTAGGAAAATTATCATATAGAAGTTACTGGAGTTGGATTCTTTTAGAAATTTTGCGGGATTTTCGAGGTACTCTTAGTATAAAAGATCTGAGGTAACTTTACTTAAAAAATGATATAAGTTAGATCAAATTATATGTAAAGAATTTAAATAATTATTAATATAATTTTCAGTCAAATGACAAGTATATCACAAACAGATATTATATCGACTTTACAAAGTATGAATATGGTTAAATATTGGAAGGGTCAACACGTAATTTGTGTAACACCTAAATTAGTTGAAGAACATATTAAAAGTAGTCAATACAAGAGACCACGGTTAACAGTGGATAGTAGTGCACTTAGATGGGGAGCTCCACCACGAAAAAATGTAAAACCTGGCAAAAAGTAGCAGAAATCAAATTGTAATTCAATGATTTTTATTATCGTGAGATTTGATGATTTAATGTGTTTAGTAAACACTTGATAAAAAAAAAGTTGCACTTGATAATATGCAACAATATTCTTAAATTTGGTAAACAATTTTTATGCGCATATGCGAATTTATATAAAATATTACGTGTATATTTCGCTAATATGCATTGTAAGACTCGTATTTGACTCGTGATGAGTAAACATGATTGATTTCTAAAGCTTCGTTAAATCTTCGGAGCGTAAAAATACTAAAGATGTAGTAATATATTCTCTAAATAATTTAATTTTTTTTTCGGTAGTACACAAAAAAAAGATAATATACTGATATTGACTCGAAATACCATGTATTTCTTAAGATAGAAGAATCATTAATTTTTGCTGGAAATTTATCAGTTTTGCAATATGTGATTATAATCTCAAGATACAAGTATATTGTGTTTCACATAAAAGAAAAAAAAATAAGATTGATAATAATACCATGCAGTATTAATCTGTATTAATGATTTTATTATATACATTCATTAATAATAAATTAATTATTCATGAGAAAGAAATTATCATAAAATAACCATAAATATAATTAAACTTTATCATCATTACACAATAATTCATTATTTATAATTTTGAAATAGATGATTTATGCATTTCTTTTGCCAATTTAATGGCATACTTAGCAGTTCCAGGTGCAGTGCACACTCCGTAACCTCCATGTCCATAATTATGCACTAGCTGTAACATAATTTTGATCAATTAACGAAAACATTCATAAATAAAATATTCAATTGAAACTAACGATAGCTTTAGAAAATCCATTTACGATTTGTTCCCTTTCCACTCTGACATTGTTTTCTCTATGTGGTCTTAAGCCAACTTCTATCTTTACAACTTCTGCTTTTTTAATATTCGGTAAGAAGTTTTTACATCTATTATGAATTGCTGTAGATTCATACAGACAAGGTTTTAAATTTTCAGAATCAAAGTTCCTCGAACCACCTAGAGTAACTGTACCATTAAAACCTGGTATAATGTAAGTATCCAATTCGCCATAAAAAAATGTTTTCAACCATGGCGCATTTACCTATTTTTTTAAAATTAAAAAATTAAAATATATTTTATATTTAAAAATTAATTCTATGTTAAAATAAATATACTTTAAGTATTTGACCACGTATAGAAACGAGACGTTTATCATTGCATAAAGATCGTGCTCCGAGACCTGTACAATTCATAATTAAATCCCAATCGGATACAAGTTCTGTTAGAGAATTCAAGTTTCTTTCTTTCAATTTAATTCCACTTATTTCTAATCTAAGAATAAATATTTATTTAAGGATATTTAATTTGAAGAAATTATGTTAATTAATAAAGTAAATTCGTTACTTATTACGTGCCCATGGCAGATACAGTTTACACTCTGTGAGAAGAGTTCTAAAAAATGAGCCATACTTCCAATTACCTTCCACTAATTCAAATTCTTCATCAGTGGCTTTTCTATATATTGGCACTAAATCTTCGATCCAATGATTCTATTGTAAAAAAAAAAAAAAAATTAATTTCTTTTTAACAAAATTAAAAATTTGATAATGATATTCTAATATTATATTCATAATGTATATTTTCAAATATATTATAATATTCTTAATGAACATATTTAAAAAATATTTATAAAAATTCGAAATAAACCTTAACAGTTTCTGGTGAAGAATTTGCAAATAAATAACCGGATATAGCGGTTATACCAGCAAAGGAAGCTTCGTGAGACTTTCGAATATCATCGTAATATTCATACGAATCTCGTATCCAACATCTAAAAAAAACATTTTAATTAAAAAATATAAAAATTTTAAATATCAGAAATAAATCTATCTTTACGTATGAACCTTGTTATTTCTTCAGTTGGTCCAAAATATGATGAACCAACTCTAAATATTCCAGCTGCCACATGACTAACAGTATTATTAAAATCAGAAGCGAAAATAGTAATTTCAGCATTACGTAATTCATGTTTTAATTGTAAAGCTGTAGTTAAACCAATTATTCCACCTCCAATTATAACCACTTTCATTTTTTCGTATTTTTTTTAATAATTAATTAATAAACAATATTTGCTTTTCAAAGATTCCAGTAGAATATAACAATTTATTAATTATTAAAAAATATTATTAAGAATAACTAATATTGTTTGATAAGATTCTAAAAATTGTACATCTTATCTGTTGTTAAAATACTCTTGTTCTGATTATATCATGAAATTACTTATAGCTGCAGTCGATAATATGTTCTGTTAAAATGAACTCGCAAGATGTATTAAAAGAATTACGTTTATTTTAATACAAATTGACATTTTCCAAAAAGTTGTCGTGGTAATTCAAATATTATGGGCAGTTAATTCTCTTATTAAAGATAAGATAACATCATTCAATGGAAAACGTAAAGGTGTGATTACAGCATAAAAAGAATTTAAGATTTCTGCGCGTTAAACAATGATTAATCGAGATATGTACAACGAATGTTAAAAATTCAGAGAGAATAGTTAATTAAACTTAGCTTCATTTTCTTATTTATTTGTCTTATTTATAGATTAATATGAAATTTGATCTAACCACATCTATTTTCCCGCATATATACAAACTTTAATTTCAAAGAAAAAAGAAAGAAAGAAATTGTATCAAGATCTCTTTTTTCTTTAAAACTAACGCCTAAATCAAAAATAATTTGTAAACTACAAAAGTAAAATATACAATGATAAGTTCATTTGCCTTACGGGTATCTTACATCTTCAACAATGTAATTCTTATTAACAATCGGTCCTCTTTTGTATAAATTACATTGTCACGCGTTACAATTTTTCATTGTATCTCGGATCTCTTTTTTTTTTCGACTATTTGTTTTTTCGTATCGAAAAATATATAAACGTAACGCGAATTTTTAGAGATGTGGACGCAATGGAATAGAAGTCGTATGCGAATTCTATTCCGAAAACGATTAATATCGCATCACAAAAAATGAAGCTATTTACAATAAGCAAACAGTCGATAAATTTGTCACTAATAATAATACATTATTTTTTGCGTCTACGTTCTGCGCAAATTTTAACGATCTTACAAAGCCTTTGTATGTAAGGCCACACTCACGATTTTTCTTTTTCTTCCTTTTTTTTTTTTATTTCTCCATGGAGAAATAAATATTTGTATAGTGTTCATTTTACAAGCTTAATGTCTAAGATTGTTATATGTTAAAATAGAATGCTACCTAAAATACAAAAATCTTACGCTTTACTGCAAGGCTGTATGGTATAATTCAAAGGAGGAGGAGGAACTAAAAGAGGCAACGGAGTAGGAGGTGGAGGAGCTTGAACAGTATTCGAAACTGTAGTTGCTGATTGAGCTTCACTGTTACGAATATTAACATTGTAAGCAGAAAGATAACTTGGCCAAAGATGTGGTGGTGGAGGAGATCCAGGAGGTGGTGGCGGCGGAGAACGATCATCTAGTTCGTCCGAATCATCCATCATCATTGCCGTTAATGGAGTGACACGGGGTTTCTTTATTTTTATAATTTTCACCTAATAAGCATAATTAATAAAACAATAATTTGATACATAAAAATTAAAAATTTACGTTCTAACTTTTTTTTATCTTTTGAAATAATTTAATAATTTTAAATGAAAAATTTAAATTTACAAATTAAGAGAATACTAACCTTTACTTTTTTTTTTGCTTTTGGAGGTCTCACTCTTTTCTCTTGCTTTCTGCTCTTCCTAGAACTGGATCTTCGAACGTCACGAATTCCATTCCGAGCAATTATAGATGTGGGTGGTGGAGGGGAAGGCATATCTCCTTCACCACCACTAGGACTGGTACCTTCTCCAGGCTTGATTCCATCTGCAAATTGCACTGATTTTTTACTTCTTTGTTTCCGCTTATTCAATTTTGCTAACTTTAATTTTTTCATCTGAATCTTGAATTTGTTTGATTTATTCTCAGCTTCATCTTTATTAGATTCCTTTTTATCTGATTCTGGACTCTCTTTATCCGTGTTATCTCCACTATCATTTTCAGGAGTAGATAAATCATCTAAGTTACCATTAGGAACTGATGTTCTAAAATATATTTATTTATATATGTATAAATTTGCATGTTTATATTTATATCTTAAAAATAGTATAAATATTTTTTTATTCCATACAAATATAAATAATTGCATACCTGAAACCTGATGCAACTAAGATTCCTTTCAAAGGTGGTGGAGGCAACTCTGGCCATTCTTTGGATTCTGTCTCGATTTGAGTTTTATTTGTTTCATCTGTTATTGTTGCAGTAGCTTCATCAACATCGTTTTTTAATTTATTTAATCGCAACTTTTCATCATCATCTTCTTCTTCTTCTTCGTCATCTTCTGCCTCTTCCTCATCTTCTTCGTCATCTTCCACCTCAGCTTCTTCTTCCTCTTCTTCTTCTTCATCCTCTTCAACAGGCATTTCTTCTTCTTCTGTAGAAACAGAAGATGCAACAACTGGTGTTTCTTCTTCTTTTTCAAAAATAGTAACAGAAGTTTGTTGCTCTTCCACATCACATTGTTCTTCACCTTCTAGAAGAGCCTTCAAAACACATGGATCTAAACCCGTATTTTTTTGCTGATTTGCATTTTCTGTTTGGCGCATGTTACTTTTTTCTAATAATTGAAGAGCGCGACGATTAATTCGTTCAATTCGTCTACGTTCTTTTTCTTTTCTTCTAATCTCGCGCAATCGTTTACGTTCTTCCTGTTCTTTTCTGCGTGTCTCCAAAATAACTTCGTAGTTATAAACTGGGAGAACTGGTATTTCTGTAAATTTAATTATATAAATAATTATTTATATTTTAACAATATATGTTTATCATAGAAAAAGATTAAATTTACTTACTTTGTGATGTCACTTCAGTTCTTGCAAACGTTGATTGTGATGCCGGAAGTGGGACAGGACCAGGGACAGGTACAGGAACAGAAATAGGTAATGGAACCGGGGACAAAGTAGAAACTGGTGTCGAAGTCATGGCTGGTGGAACGGCCGGTACAGGCATTGGAACAGGAACTGGAACAGGTACAGATATAGGAACTGAGGGAACCGGAGAGGGTTGAGGGACTGTCGCGGAGTATATCATCCCTGCTGATTGATCGATCGAAGAAGACTGTCCGCCGCTCCAGTCTAACGATGTCGGAACAACTTGAAGAACATTACCTACGCGAACTACTTGACTTGAGCCTCGTACAATCGGTGTACTCGAGGAATTGCTTGAGTCTCTATGGGTTGCTGAGACTCCATTGAAATCTGCAGGTACAACTTGCAATACATTGCCAACCTGTTTGATATTTTGTGAAAATATATTATTTTTTGATCTTTTTACAACAAAATTAAATAAAACAAAGATAAACAAACAATAATATTAGTAATATATTATATTTAATTTTATTTAATTATAAAATAAAAATTAAATTCATAAAATTTATTAAATAAAAGATTTTTATATAAATTAATATTAAATTTATATAAAGAATTAATTACATACTTGTAAAACGGTAGGTTGCTGGCGATATAACATCTGTTGTTGTTGCTGAGGTGATGATGAATAACATACATTTGAATTAAAATTATCTGCATAATCATTTGATATTCCTGTTCCATCTTGTTGCTTCTTAATACCTA